GCCGACTACATCGCCCTGAACGAGGACCTGACCTCCTGGACCGCGACCGACATGGCGGCTCAGATCACCAAGCGCAAGTGGGAGGCGGCCGGTGTGGCAGAAGGTTGGAGGAGCTACCTGGAGGGAACCTGCAAGAAATGGCTCCGCATTCACCTGGAAAAAGGGAATGAGACCCTGCAGCGCGCAGGTACCAGGGGCCCTGGGACCGCCCCCTCTCCCCGGGGCTGGGGCTCCTACAAGGAGACAGGACAGGGGGTCAGTGTCAGACACCCCTCCTTGGGGTCAGGGAGGGAGTCCCCTGGATGTCCAGATCAGGTACCAGAGGGACCCCCCTCCTCTCAGGGACAGTTAGGGATGCAGGCTCTCCTGGGGTGCAGGGAGACCCCCCTGAAAAAACCCATCAGCAGTTTACATAGGCCCTGCAGGGGCTATGGGAACCACGGGGACCTTCTCTCTCAGGCCTTGTGCGCTGCCCACACCCACTGTGTCTGAGGCCTCACCCCAGCTTTTCTGAGTCACGTGGCCTCCACCCACGTCAGGACCACAAATCCCTTTTCTCCCCTCAAAGACCTGCCTCCTGCCTTGGACTGTGTCTCTCTGATCCTAGAACTTTCAAAGTCTAGGAGGTCCTTCCAGGTGCCTCTGTCCAGGCTGGTGTGTGGGCTGTGTGCTCCCTCCCCCACCCCAGGTGGCTGTCCACTCCCAGGATGGTCACATGGGCGCTGCTGGAGTGTCCCATGGCAGATGCAAAGTACGTGCATTTTCTCCCCTCCCCTCAGACCCTCCAAAGGCACACCTGACCCGCCACCCCGTCTCTGCCCAGGAGGTCACCCTGAGGTGCTGGGCGCTGGGCTTCTACCCTGCGGACATCAGCCTGACCTGGCAGCGTGACGGGGAGGACCAGACCCAGGACATGGAGCTGGTGGAGACCAGGCCTGCGGGGGACGGCACCTTCCAGAAGTGGGCGGCCGTGGGGGTGCCCCCTGGAGAGGAGCAGAGAGTGCAGCATGAGGGGCTGCCCGAGCCCCTGACCCTGAGATGGGGTGAGGAGGGGCCGTGGGCACAGAGCCTCTTCTCAGGGCAGCAGGGGCCCTGGGGGACCTCAGTGGGGTCAGGGCTGAGGCCTGGGGTCGGGGCCCTCACCCTCCCTTCCCTTCTCCCCCCAGAGCCGCCTTCTCACACCTTCATCTTCATCATCATGGGCATTGCTGGGGGCCTGGTTCTGCTGGGAGCCGTGGCTGGAGCTGTGATGTGGTGGAGGAGGCGCTCAGGTGGGTAGTGGTGGGGTCTGAGTGTCTGTCCCACTGGGGGTACAAGCCCAGTTAGACGTGTGTCCCGCCTCCTTCACGGGAAGCATCATCCCCACCCGTGTGCTGGCCAGTGTGGGGCTCTGTGCTCACACTTACTCTGTAGTGAGGCCCGTGGGAAAATGAGGGACCCACTTATCACCTGATGATGCTGGTGGTGGGGAGCCCGTTCTCAGCAGTCCCAGGTCAGAGGGCAGGTCCCTGCTGAGCACAGATCTCCAGGAGGGTGAAGGGTCCAGTCCCCACACATGCACTTTCTCAGGTTTCCTGATCTTGCCCTAGATCTATACACATGGTTCTGGAAACTTATCTGGGGACCAGGACTAGGGCTTCCTTTAGGACCTCATGGCCCTGCCTCCTCCCTGGTCTCTCATAGGATGTTTTCTTCCTGCAGGTGGAAGTGGAGAGAGCTATGCTCACGCTGCCAGTGAGTATGGAGGGGTGATCCCTGAGACCTTGTGTCAGTCCAGACGGGAGCCATGGCGGGACCCCACACCCATAGTTTCTCCTTTGTCTCCTGCCCTGGGGCTTCCGTGTCCTGGTGTGCCCCTCCGCCCCCCAGGCAGTGACAGCGGCCAGGGCTCTGATGTGTCTTTCTCGGCTTCTAGAGGTGAGACCCTGCCATGGGGAGGGGTGGGCAGAGGGGAGGACTGGGTGGTGGTGAGTCTGTGGGACACTATGAGCAGGAAGTGGGCTTTGAGAGTGTCACCAGTTACAGCCACTGACCTGAATATGTTCATGATGCTTGTCCTCCACAGCGTGAGGCAGCTGCCTTGTGGGGACTGAGTGTTGGAAGATGTTCACGCTCCCACTTCCTGACTCAAGAATCTCTGATTGGGGGGCTGGCCTGCTCTGCTCCCCACACTTTTCTGTCAGCAGAGGCGGGCTGGGCCCTCCCCATCCCTTCCTTAACTCCCTGGTGCTCTGAGCTGCAACTTCTTGTTTCGTATTGAAATGAGACTGTGTATTGACCTGGTTTTTTAATTCTTGCTTTGACTGGTGACGGGTAATTAAAGGAGACCCTTTAATTAATTATTTTCTCAGAGGAAATAAATGTGAGCACCAAGGATTCTGCGGATTCCTGTGTATTTTGTGCTCTTTGCAGGGGGGAAGGGAGGGGCTGTGGGGACGGAGTGTGATTGGGGCCTATTCTCAGGTGGTGCTCAGTGCATCGTGGGCTTTGACGTGGTCACTCCTCAACCGGGTCACCTCTCTGCTCCTCTGACCTTGTCCCTCAGTGTTCCCTGTCCCACCAGGACCTGTGGTCACAGGGACACACGCCTTGTCACTTGTTCTAATGAATCACATCTCCAGGCCCCTCGTCATCCAATGCTCAGGTCTGGGTCAGGCCCTCAGAACCTCTCTTCTGGGTGTTTGTTGTTTCTTTGCTTTTGTGGATATGATGCCTGTTACTGTGTTTGTGTAGGAGTTTTGGTCTCATTCTCTGGGTGTCCCCATCTGACAGTATCAGGGCTCATTTTTGCCGTCATTGTCCCGCTGGCCCAGGGGTCCCTGCACACAGGACTCTGGTTGTAGAGATATATTTCAGGCTCCTCCTGCTCTTGCCTCCTTCTAGGGCCTGAAGGTTCCAACCCTCTGATCAGCTTGGTCTTTCTGGGGACAAGCCCCCACCCTGACTCTCTCCAGGACCCTCAGCCAAGAGCCATTTCATCAGCGTCCCACAGACACTTGTCACTGAGGAGATGCCCAGGGTTTTAGGAGCTCAGTGCCAGGAGCCAGGGGCAAAGACCA